CCCCTTTCCTACAGATTTTGAGTTGCATGTACAAGGTGCACCAGAACAGCCATGGAAAAAAAGTTCATTTAAATTGATTCAACTAGCTGTACTTCACTTGTTTTAATCTTCCCACTCAAGGTGACCTCAACTAATCTAATGTATGCACACAATGATTCTTCATTTGTGTAACAAGACATTTATGCAAGAAGAACATAAATTTGAAACACTAATCTAATCTCCTCCAGCATCAATAAGGGTTACATCAAGTTGTATGCAAGACCTAACTGCTGGCTGCTTTTTCTTTCAACAACCAAACCATTTTCAAGAATGTCTGCTTTCTGCAATGAATCTCTATGATAAGCCAGTTTTTCATGTATTTTGCACTGAACTTAAACACAGATCTTGAAGTAGTCTTTGTCTCCAAATTAGCATTCTGTAGGCAAAACCTTGAATGCCTTTGTGTTGCTGAAAGTAGTTATTACCAGTCTGTCATTGGCCAGCCCATTTCCTAAGTGCAAAAGACCATTTCTGCTTTCTTCTTAATTGATGTTACTCAGATAGGAAATTTTTTCAAATTAATTTGTAATAGTATGTATTACCCTGTTCATTGAGCTAAACATGGACCACCTCTCTAGCTTCTCTGCACCAGCTCACTGGCACAAGGATGCTGTAAAACCGATCTGGTCCAGAAGGGCCAAAGGGTCTGGAGGAGGGGATAGCTCAACAATCCACATGGATGTAAACCACTTGACCAAGGAGCAGTATGGACATGACTCTGATAGCATACAAACTGTGTCTGTTAGGCTTAGATAAAGTGTTATGCAAACTAAAAATTTTATTAAATTTCAAGAAAATAGATGCTCTTCATGTTAGTTGGTCTCTACTCTTGAGTCATGGAAACCTAAAAGAAGTGACTCTTCAAAAGTTTTTAAAGGTGATAAGGTGGAATAAACTATTGGAGTGGACAGGCCAGAAACAGAGCTGTGGCATGTCTCTTACAGAAAGAGAGAGAATCACAAGTGTACTCACATCTCCTGTTCCATGTCTGAGAGGTGGAAGGGAAGGTGCTTGTGGCTGCTGTTCAAGGTGCTGTTACACTTTGTGCAATGGAATGGGGGGGTCTTTCTAAGGTTAATCTGGTGAACCTTCTATTCAGTTTGCAAATTACAAGCAGCCCATGGGCAGACAGTTGAAGAGTCCTTTTCAAGACTTTTATTAATCCTTGAATGCTAGGAACTTGATGACTATCTGAGCAGGACTCTCATTCTTTTCTCTATTGCTTTTTCTTATTCCGAGCAAATCCCAGTTGAGTGGACCTCTGCAGCTTAGATTTTCAAACTTGAAGTGTATTTTAAAGCTTTGTTGGACTGAAGATTAAAGGGAAGGCTGAGTTTTCCCTAAAATATTAGACAGACATAAAATGTATTCTTACTTTAGTAAATCTGATCTATCATCTAGTATTACCAACAAAACAACACTTCATAAACATAAATATTTTATGATACAAAACCTGCGCCGAGGAGTTAGAAAGGGCATACTGGTGAGTGTGCCCACTAGTGTATAATGAGCACAATTAATTTGAGTATGTATCAAGAGCAGTATTTTGCTAAATATTCAGCAAAAAAATTGAATCAGCATGTTCTATTACTCTTTTCATTACAGAGTTGTAAAATAGAAGTAATGTCACCCAAAGTGAACATCCCTTTTCATTTACAACCTTGCTCATTGTAATGCAAAATTTAATATACTTGGTGTTTTAGATGCTGAAATTTTAATGTAATGTAAATACCAGTATCCAGATTTTCATGGGTTTGCTTTTAAGATTTTTTTTTTACATATCTGTTAATTTTTAGATTCTCTAGTGGCTTTGAATGAAAATGTGAAAGCAGTATCTTTTAAAACATTGTATTTATAAACACAATAGTTTGGGTATTATGAAGTCCCTCTGAAGTATAGAAATCTCATCACGTATACATCTGTGTCTGGATGATGGAGATATTTGTGCTGCTTGTTTAAATAGGTTGACTGATACCTCAGCAAAAGGTATAATAATAGCTAAGATCAAGACTTTGAAAAGCTCCATTTTGATGGACTGTTATTTTTCATGCTGTTAAAATTACATTAATCAATTGCTTCAGTATTTATTTGTTCGTGCCAAAAGGAATTCTGGGGACACTGCTAATCTACTTATTTGGAAAAATAGATATTTTACAAAATGTACCTTTCAGAAATAAGCCCTTTATAAAATCTTGAAATATTCAGTACAGAGAAACGCCCAAATCCCATAGAATTCACTGAAAAGAATATTGTAAATTTCAGTAGGCTTTTGTTGATTAGGCAATTGTGTAGGTAAATACTTTCTATCACCACAAAAGCTATGCTTTTGTTCATTGTAAGAACAGCATGATTAGAAGTACAAAGATTACAGAGTACATCAAGCAAAACCCTTCATTAAGTCTGTAGTGGTCATTAAACAAAGTAAGTCCAAGAGCCTTTAAAGTTAAACTGTCAATGAAAAGAAGATAGCAAAAGGGAAAAATATGTAGCATTTAAGTGGGATAAGGCCCATTCCTAGTAAAGAAACTTTATTCCATTTATTCAGACCTTTTTTCTGTCTGTCCTCTAACATGCTAACCTGAGAGTCACGTGTTGGTTGGTGTATTTAATTTTTTGTGCTGTATCAAGCATTCCCTTTAAAACATAAGAATGGCTTTAATTACTGATATCATTATCATCTGATGATGTGCTCTCCAGACAGAACTGTGCTAGAATCATATGTGATGGCAGCAGCACTGAGCAGTGTTCCCAGGTGTGCTTTCTTGTCCAGCCATAAAAATAAGACAATCATCTAGGATGGGCATCTGAGCAGGGATCAGCAGCCTGGGTGAGGGCACAGAATCCTCACCACCTTTCCCTGTTTGTGCAGAGCTGAGAGCCACTGCCTCTCCTTGCTGTTCCTGCCTGAGCAGATCAGACGGGAGCAAGCTGGATGTGTCTGCTCAGAACACAATCAAACCTCCAGGTTAGCTCTCTGGGTACACTTGAATATGTCCTCAGACCTATGGAAAAGACACTTGTTTTGATAAACCACAGGGCTTAGTACAACCTTTACATTCTGGGTAACAGTAAAAGCAACATAAAAATGTTGCTGCTTTCCTTCTCCTTTGCAAAATTCCCAGGAAATACTTTCTCCTTCCTCCAAACAGTTTTTAGAGCTTCAGCTTACTGTGTATCTCTCCCACACTGCAATCCTGCACATTTTTCCTGTAAATTTTTCCAGTTTCCAGGAGAGAGAGTCATGAATGCTTGCAGCAACTACCTCCTCTTATGTTAGTATTACAATCTTGTTAGATAAATGCAGTAAGAAAAGTGTTTAGGGGACTTTCAGAATATGGGTTTTATTTAAAACTAGGAACTATCATACTCAGATCATACTTTCTCAAGACAGCAGTCAAGAAAGAGCTTGGATCTACTTGAAAATATGTTTTTAAAAACCACCCTAATTTGAAATTAGGGTTGCTAGTGGCTCCTTGTGCATAGTGCTAGAAAATGAGAGAACAAATCCAGTATCAATGCTTTCAAATGTTCATCATAAAGAGCTACGTAGGTCCATTCAGCATGAAGTCTACATTTCTGCAGACTCTACCAAAAAAAGGTCCCAAGTCTGTGTTCCCTACACAGCCCCATCCTTGGGATTTTTTTGCAATTGACTCATGTTCTGAAGAGATCTAAGAGCAATAAAAACCATGAAAGACTGTATTTTACACTTTGTCTTCCCCAGCAGGTTCCCTGACAGATCTTTTCAAATGGACTATTCTTCTTGCAAATCATTCTATAAATTGTTGAATGTTTGATCAAACACCCTGCTTGTTAGTTTTGCAGAAACAGAAGGAAGTTTTATCAAAAGAGCAAGCTATTTGATGCACCAAAAGCCAGGCAGCCACAGTGCCCAGCAATCTCAGCAACAAGGAGAGCAGCGTGGTCAGGAACATTACTTAAAGTGAAACATTCATTGTACCACTGCAAATCTATAGCATCCACATAAAAAGTGGATCTCAAGTGCTGCTCAGCTGACACAATGGACTTGCAAATGTTCTTCAAAAATTTGATTAAACTAAGGAGAAATCTGGACTCTAGCAAATACAAATTAAAATATAAAATGCTCTCCCTTCTCAGCTGTGATTTGAGTGACATATTCAAAATTCAGGAAGTAGGGTTTGGGTTGTTATAACAGCACAGACTCAGAGAGAAGAGAGTGCAATGAAGGTTGAAGACTCTCCTGCCAAAATAGTCACTACAGAGCAGAGCAGAGAGAGCATTCCTACCTCAAACAGCAGGGCTGCAGCATCCACCTGACATGCTGGTTCTATTGATACATTCAGTGCATATGATGTTTTCTTGTTTGATTGAAGAAACATCTGTCGAACTTATATTGGACATTGAGATTAGTAGAGCAATTATTTTAGAATTCTGTGATTATAAACTAATGAGAAAGTCTAAAAGCCTGAATTTTTAGACACCATGGTCTTGATAATTATGCTAATCTCTTACGTACTTATTCCTTGAGGAATTACATCATTACTACTCCACAACCTACAAATGAATTCTCTATTTCTACAGACCATGGTTATGATATTTGGCATGACATCAGCAGGTACAGAAAATCTATCCATGTAGTACAGTGTCTGATATGTAGAAGTACAGGTTTTTTTCAGCTTCTCAGTTCTTTAACATCTATCATATTGTTTCTTCTGTGTTTCTTCTGTGTATATCCTTTCCCTAAGCACGAGTTAAATTAATCTTTTCTTCCTTACATCCTTTAGCTAATGTCTCACTGAACTATCAGCATTATATAGGTAAATCATAGCAAGGTCATTTGGTTAAAAGCAGAAAATACGATCTTTGACAGTATCTAGCACGTTATTTTACAGAAGTTTCTTATAGATGATGCACTGGACTCAATTTTATTTAACAGTGTCAGCTATGGTCATTCATACGTTGCTGATTTTTTTTTCTAGGTACACGAAAATGAAGACTGCCACCAATATCTATATTTTCAATCTTGCCTTGGCAGATGCCCTAGCAACAAGTACTCTGCCATTCCAGAGTGTGAATTACTTGATGGGAACGTGGCCATTTGGTACCATCCTCTGTAAGATTGTTATATCCATAGACTACTACAATATGTTCACCAGTATCTTTACACTCTGCACCATGAGTGTAGATCGCTACGTAGCTGTTTGCCACCCAGTTAAGGCCCTTGATTTCCGTACCCCCAGAAATGCCAAAATTGTCAATGTCTGCAACTGGATTCTCTCTTCTGCCATTGGCCTGCCAGTTATGTTCATGGCAACTACTAAATACAGGCATGGTAAGTCTGGCTTTCATTCCAACATTTAAACTCCTTTCTGCATTGTTTTAATGTAGAGACATTGAATTAGCTTCTGCCCTCCAATCTGTATAAAGCACGTATCAGTGCAAATGGGCCCCTTCAACAATTTTGCAGCTGGCTGTAGTTGACTGGACAAGCACTACATGTCATCTGTGTTTTACAACAGGCAGCTCCAGCTCCTTCTGTGGTCCATGCAAGTCTTGCTGCCCCACATGGTTACTGTAGTGTTTGGAAAAGCATCTGGGCCTGCCTGCCTTCTGCTGTGGGGCAGTTATACATTGTCTCACAGCACAGAAGCCTGCACTTTATCCAGGATATTCCCACTGGGGCTGGCAGTCATAGATATGTTGCATGTAGTCTGGCAGGATGTGATACAGAGCAGAAAGCACAATTCTGGATCACTGGTGCTCAAAGACCTTCCATAAAGGGACAGCGACAGTACGTCAACATAAATCCAAACCCACCATGGTGCATAGTTACCAGGTGACATCATTTTCTTCCCCGTTGCCCTGAAATGCCCAAACTCTTAGCACATATGGTAGCTAAGCCATCTTTCTTTTCACTAGGTTTTGAAAGTGAAAACGAGGCAAGGTTTGAGCATTTGTGACAATTCAGCTCTCTTTCTTTTCCAATATACATTTAATTCCAAGCAATAGAATGAAAAAGAGGACACGTTAATTTGGTTTTGTTTTTCTAACTCCATACATGTTTTGCAGCACTCTGACCTATCAATGTTTGTGTAAATGACAGCTCACAGATTGCTTCATTTTACATGTTTACTTAGTAAATCTTCACATATTTGCCTATGATATTTAATTTAAAAAAGTTTAAAAAAAAGCAAATGAAAAACTGACCCCCTTGTTCTTCTCTGATATTTTCCTTTTTCCCCAGGCTCGATTGACTGCACACTTGCATTCTCCCACCCTGCATGGTACTGGGAGAACCTCCTGAAAATCTGTGTGTTCATCTTTGCCTTCATCATGCCAGTCCTGATAATTACTGTGTGTTATGGGCTGATGATTTTACGCCTGAAGAGTGTTCGCATGTTATCCGGCTCCAAAGAGAAGGATAGGAACCTGCGGAGAATCACAAGGATGGTTCTTGTAGTGGTGGCAGTGTTTATTGTCTGCTGGACTCCCATCCACATTTATGTCATCATTAAAGCCCTGGTCAACATCCCAGAAACTACTTTCCAGACTGTCTCCTGGCACTTCTGTATTGCTCTAGGGTATACAAATAGCTGCCTTAATCCAGTCCTTTATGCATTTCTAGATGAGAATTTCAAAAGGTGTTTCAGAGAGTTCTGCGTCCCCACTTCCTCAGCCATTGAGCAGCAAAACTCCACCCGAATCAGACAAAACACTCGTGACCATGCTTCCACTGCCAACACTGTGGATAGGACTAACCATCAGGTATGACTAGCAGTGGAGATGTCATCTCTGGATCCAGGTCACCTGCCTGGAGATGACATGTATTCTGAAGTTACTGTCTATACTGATTTGTAGCTATCTGAAGGTCTGAACACCTTCGAGGTTATATTTGAAACTTCTGTATGCATACACAGAGACTCCAGTCCTGCATGGTGCTAGTTATTCTCTACCCTGCTTGATATTCAGAAGTCAAGGGTTTTCAAGGTTACCTTGCCTGACTGGGTCCCACATGCATGCATGTACAAAGCACACAAAACAGCATTTCATTTGCAGGATGTTTACAACAGGTGACTGAAGGTTAATCACAGATTTCTCTGTTCATACTCCTGGTCTTCTGATAGAGACAGGAGTGTGACAAAATACAGATCTCTCTTCTTCTCCCATTGCAGTAGTGAATAAAAAGATAAAAAACTGTGTGTGTTCACTTTTGACTGATGTACAGAGAAGGCCTACCTGGCCTTGTTTTTCCTGAAAGACATGCAAGAAGTAGACAAAAGCTTGTCTACATGCAGTTCTTATATCAGATATGTGTTGACTAAGGTGGGTTTTGATATAGATAGATAGATATAAATATATACATACATGTTAAGGACTATTGTGCCATTTTGCCATTTTAGCTATACTAAGATACCTTTTCCATGTAGAAAAAGCCTTTAAGAAGCAGACATTTTATGACACATCAGATACCAAGAGAAATAGATTTTTTTTTTAATTCAGCCTTTGGTTGCTTACTTTTTGCAAAGAAGCTCTTTTGTAAATGTTCAGTGTCCATGGTCCTGTAATTAGTCCAGAGAATTTCCAATCCCCATCCTTAAGTGAACATCAAACAAAACATGAAAGCAAATCTTAACATTCATGAAAGTCATTCAAGCACATCACAAGCACTAGAAGTTTGAGTTGTCTCTGTAGTTCCTTAAAAAGAAGAACTAAAGGCATAAGCCTGGTTCATTCCTTGCCATATCACCTTTCAGCAATATACTTAAGGTTGCTCACACACCAGTTTCTCACTGCTGCCACTTTAGCCACAAGCTGGCTGTTTCCTTGAGGTGCAGAACTCAGTGGCTTCTTGTGAAAGCAGCTGCAGACCTGCCGCTCAGCTGCTGCCAGAAAGCATAAATCTGAACGTTACCGTCTCCAAACAGACTAAACAGTAATTGCACCAGAAAAGAGGAGGGACCAGTCTAAAGGGAGAAGGGCTAAAGTGAGCTTTATTAAGCATCAACAGTTGGTATTTTTGTTCACCACTGTCTGATTCATACATGCCAAACCATGGCCTGTGAAATCAGCACCTGCTCAGTCTTACACACGCTTTGATGGTGGAGCAGAACTGCCAAACTTGGCACAGGCGCATACATATATGTATGTATGTATATACATGTAGTATTCACTAGGCGTAGCAAATTATTAGAGAGACTCATCTGTTAATAATCTATTTGTAACCCTCGGTGGAGTCAATTTTGTGCGTGTGTCCGACAACAGGATTGCGTTTCTTATGTAGTACAATTCCAGCTTTCTAAAGTGTGGTGTGTATGTACCCATTTTCTAAATTTACTTATGGATCCTTATATTACTTTTAGGAGAGCTGTACACTTCTACCCATAGCAGAGATTAATGTGGCACTGGCCAGAGGCTGGTGAAATAAAGTCTATTTCCTTGAGCACTGAGCAAACACAGAATAGAATATGTTTTGCACAAAGATCTTTCAACCTACACCAACGGGGAGACAGTCTACAGAGGCAGGGATGAACCAAGCAGTGAAGTGAGCTTGAGAGTGACAATAAGAAGGAAGTTAGTCTCATAGTTGCATTCTTTGTTGATTAGGGATTTTTTTTTTCCATTCAGGGAATAGTGATGAAGTTAGTTAAGAAGAAATAAAGTATATGTAAAGAGAAGGGAAAGGGAAGACACTGAAGGGAAAGGAAAGTGAGAGGAAGAGTGCTGGGAAGAAAGGGGAATGTCAGTAGTGAGATCCAAGTGAGGCAGTAAGGATGGAAACTGAAGCAAAGAGACAATCTGCATGGAACAAAGGTGTATACAGAGCTATAAGGAGTTGCTTGACTACTTCGGTAGCTCTTCCTAGCAACTAAGTTATCAGTTTTCCCCAGAGCCAAGGAGAAGACGACCACACTTGGAATCTCAGGTCCTCATAGATGGGCAGATAGGTCTCTTTGCGTGGTCAGATATTTGAAAGAATTTGGAGTGGACAGTTTCGCTTCCCTCACCACCATCCCTGCAGTCCCTGCTTGAGCAGCTGCTGCTGTTGCCATTGGTTTACTTCTGCCAGATGTGCTCACTGAGTGATGACCCGGGCCTTCTCCCAGGACTACAGTTCAGCAGTTGTTTGGTGCAGTCTTTCTCACTCTCCACAATGTCTATAGAATACATTCTATAGCAAGCCATGTTCAAAGCTTAATATTAAACTTAATTTATCTTTTTTCTCCAACAAACATTTCTGTAAGAAGTAGTTTTGTTGTTGCTTTTATCAGAATGACAGATAAGATTGTAGAACTAATCTACACTAAAATGGTTCTCTGGAGTAGTACTTAAAAGTGTAACATGTAATATTTTTATATTATTATTTTAAACAGAGAAAGCAGCTTTTGCTCTCAAAAAAGAAAAAAGAAAGAAAACAAATCCCCAGACAAAACAATGTTTGCTTAGACAGTCAGATTTTGTCAATTCTATTGACAGGGTATTCTTTTCACAGGTAAGTGCCTTCTGTACAAGAAAGTCTAGCTCGTATATCTGTATTGATCGAAGTATACTGACAAGCTCTTTCTTGTAAAGACGAGGCCTTGGAGAGCATTTGGTATGAATTCTAGTGGCAGGGCCGTATAGTACTAGGCACACGTCACATAATTTTCTAAGAAACAGATGTTCTACAAGTTCCTTTTTTGCCAAGTGAGAATTCTTTTCTCCTGCTAAAGTTAATGAGAAATGCAAGGCTCAATCACATAAGGCCTAACACTTGAAGCACTTAAAAATAAGCATTGACTGGTGGAAGGAACAACTGTATTTTCTATCAGTTCAAAACTCCTACAGAAAAGCAGCATCTTGCAAACGCACAGAGCAACATCTGATCCGTAACACTGATGGTGTAAGCATTTATAGAAATTGTATATGCCCAGTAGACAAACACAGCTATGAGGGATAAAAGACAATGGCTAATCAGGCATGCAAAAAACTGGAAGTGTTGTAAGATAGATGTTTCACATCTGTGGGGGGATGTATGCTGTGTTACACTCAACTAACTCCTGCAGTAAAATGCATGGGGTACATCTGTTCTGAAGTGAGCATAAAGGCTCAGCTCACTTTAGTTCAGGGAGGCATATACAGTCTTATAAGTGTATTTGCATGGAGAAGGAGCGATGGAATCCTGAAAAAAACGCTCAAAACGCAAAACTGCTTACTTTGAACTTTTTTCTGTATGACCCAGTATTGGTAGGGTAAGGTAATAAGGACCAAAGACTAGCTTTTGCAAATGGTTGAGAGTTTTTGATGTCATTGGCATTAACCTGATTCGTATAACAGACCTTGGCAAGTATTTTGAAATAGCTCTTACTTCAGATGCTCGGAGACTATTTGCATTACTTTATCTCTGAGATTAAAAGGTTTTATTTTTTTAATTTAAAATTAATTGATAATTACTTTTCCTGAAAACTATGTTTTCCAAATATATTAAATTTTTGCTATCTATGTGTTAATACCAAAAAATATAAATAATTAGGAAACTCAATTATTAATAATTATTGTAATCCAAGAAATTTGTTTCCGTGAACTAGTTTCTTTGTGACCTGTTTTTATGGCTGTTTTTATAGCTGTTTCACCTGAATGTATCGAAGCAACTAAGCAAATTATGTATAGGCACATCTTCAGGACTATTTAGTCATCCTGTGTAACTATATTTTGCAATTTTAGCTTCTGATGCTTTCTCCTTAACTACTGAAGCGTCTAAATGCTCTACTGGAAGTTGCAAATCCTCCTCATATGCTGAAAATGAGGCCTCAGATGTGTTCAGTAAACAAAGGCTCAGCCCTGAAAACTTTGCCCTTGTTGCTTGGATTGGCAGCCACATGTAGAAATAAAAAGGATATTGGATTCAAGAAACGCTATTTTTAAGTTGAAACAAGGAAAAATTGAAAGCTAGTTTCACTTTGATTAAATAAATGAAGAAAGTGATTTCTTACTTTTCAGTTTTCACAGTGCTATATGAGAGATTGCAAACAAATATGGGAAATGCTGGTGAGTCCTATTGCGGAAACACAAAAAAGCTGGGCAGTTTCTGTAACTCCAAACCTTGGCAGATTCACGTCTACCTGTATTAATAGAGAATGGCCTTTCTGTGTATTTTTAGAAAATTGATGTATCTCCTTTGTAAATTATACTTTGTTTCAATAATAATTTAAAGGTATTGATTTGTTAGGAAGCCCATTTCTGGTAAGATAGTGACATCAATGAAACACTTGCTGAAGTTCAATAGACCCTTAAAATCAAACTTTCTTTTGTAGCTGATTCGTACTGTCATGGGCTCTTTGTGAATCTTCAGGTTTCATCTGTGATTCTTCTGTCCATGCCATAAACCCTTGATTTGCAGTGTCTCCTACCCTGTTTTCAACAAGTTCTAGTACAACATTTGCTGGGCAGCAAAAAGGGATTCTGGACTTTCAGGACATGCTGTGCAGTAAGCAGGTTTTCTTGATGAAAACATCTGTAGTGCTGTTGTGCCTGCATGCAAATTGAACCTAACATGGATACTGTGGACACCCAGGGCTGAGAGGTTGTTGGGTTTGTTTGCTGATGTGAGTCTGTGTCACACAGCATTTAAACTGGACTTTCCAAAAGTCAGACAATATGCTGAAACATAGAATGTATCAGCTAAAATACCAGCTCTTCTTTAACTGCTACAGAAAGCATACAGGGAGGGAGTGATATCTTTCCATACTCGTGAAATTCTTAGAGGGTTCCACTCTAGAAAGAGAACAACTGGCTTGATACAAAGTATTCTAATTCTAAGTCAATTTTCAGACCTACTAATGTTTTTTTGTCTTTGAAGGCCAGACATGAAACTTTTCTGTGTTTTGTTACTTCATGGCAAAGGCATGGTCTCTATGCCTTACTCCCTATGTGTTCAGCTTTATACAGCAGGACAGTAGATGCAAATGAGAAATAAATTCCTCTTAAAAGAAACCTGCACACATGTAGACACACACACAGACTTGTGGGTGGGAAGATACCAAGCAACTGTTCATTGTATTTGCAATTTCTTTCCTTTCAGTTGGAACTTCAAGAAGCTGAAACTACTCCACTGCCGTGACAGGGTCTCCTGCTGCATGGCTCTCAAACCAGTTGCACACCAGTGCCACAGTGTGTCTGGGCAGTATGCTATGGGAACGTGTAGGATATACTTTCCCTCAAAAAAATACCACAGAGGAAAGCATCTGCTTTTCCAGTCTATCACAAATTGCTTCTGCAGCACATCTACTTTGCACAGAATAGAAGCATGAAATATAACAGCAAGCAGAGCCAAGAGATACGGGGGCTTGCCAGGCTCCAGTGTTCAAAACAGTCATGTTTACCAGGAATACATACGTGAGTCTAAAACACAGCTATTGTACCTGTAGCAATCTGACATGCTCTTGATAAGTTTACAGTGGTGTTAAAACAGGTTGGAAACAAAAATTCAAAGGCTGGACAACTTACTTTGAAAAATGAAAGTGAGCTTTTAATGATGGGAAATAATGTGATATGAAGTTTTAATACTGTTGGGTACACTCTATTTATTCTTAAAATTTGTAGAAGTGTTTCCTGTGCAGGTTATTTGCGTGCTGAAGTCTAACAAGGTCATCTAGAACAACACATTTGCAGTTCAAGAGGTCTTCTCTTACAGGATTGCAATTTCAAAGGGAAAATATTTCTTTCAGTGATCACTTAAAAAAACCCCCAAAACTCCAAGCTTCACCTTCTGCTTCTGTTTCTCATGTAAGAAAAGAGTAAAATCAAAACAACAAGCTATCATTTTTTCTAAAAGAGATGAGTAAATGAAAGTATTCCATGTTATTGATTGCCAAATTATCCCCAAAACACTACATTACCATAAATTCCTTTGTGAATAGAAATGTAGCTATAAACCTGTCAAAGCTTGCACAGGCTAATGATGTCTTCTCTTTCAAGTAGTTTCTCAAATTTCAATTGCTCTGTCAGCAACATTTTCAATTTGTTAGTCATCAACAACCCCTGTGTGAAGTGCTTGGAGCAGTTAATGCATTAGTCCTTTTTTAAAAAACAAAAACAAAAAAAAACCCAGACAAACAAACAAAAGGGTTACATTTTGCTAGATATCTATTTTTTCTTAACCAAACCCGTAATATCTTTGCTTTTCTAACTAGTGTAATACAGTCTGCATCCGCATTTTGTATTAGCTGCTAAAACACATTAAGATTTCAGGAGAGAACATTGTACTGCAGTAAATGCCTCCTTAGCTGTTTTCTAGTATGAGAAATAGAAATATCCATGTAGATAATTTGTGGTGCGATGGTATTTTCTAGACATTGTTTGTTACTTGGTTTGTAAATAAATCATCAGTAGTTAACCAGGGGAAAATGTACTTTGATGAATTTAAGTGTATTCTAAAATACAACTCTATGGAACAGGGAGGGTTTTTGTCTTTTTCTTTCTGCAGCCAAAATGTATTTCTTATTTTAATTGTTAAAATCTATGTAACAATAAGCGTTTAATGTGAAATTGTTTCTGCCATAGACTGCATAATAAATACTGAAGGCCAAATACTTGCAAGTTGTAAACTAAAGGATTATTTGAGTTTCATCACTGTGTTCCAGCTAAATGTGTAGTCTAGATATCAGAATATGAAACTAAATATAAGGGAAGTGCCTTATTTTTTTTTCCCTTTCTGTTGAAAATTCCACTCTGTTGTCACATGGATTTAATGTTTAATTTTGTATTAATTTAGCTGTATCATCTCATAGTCATCATTAAAGTTTAAAACAGAGTCATCGCCATTCTAAGAGGTTTTGCATCTAATTTTTAAACAGCATAAGACAGGCACTTGGAAGAAATTAACATATTGTTTTACACCACACAGGAGTATGACTTAAATAACAAAAACAATATAAAATACACCAGAGATGTAAATAGATTAACATGATATGACACCATTACTGTCTGATGTGTTTGGAGCAATTTGACATGCTCACATACAACCACCTTACAAAATTTAAAAATAATGAATGACTATTTGAAAAGTCTGATGGATCAAAAACATGTTTGAGTAAAATTAGAATCGTAGATTTATGACTAGTCAAAAGTTCATCAGCTTTAACAAAATTTACATAATTTATTGAAATCAGTATTTTTTCTCTACTTAGAATGGAATGAAGTACACAGGCAAAATATTGTGGCTTGCCAACAGACAGTCAAATATTTTTAAAGATTTTCTGATTCTGTTGTCCAACAATTAATTGAACAAGCTGACTGTAATTATTTCTGGCAGTATTAATGTTTTAGCCTTGATGGTTTAAGGATATGAGGAAACAAATTTTATTAACAGAGCATTAGCAAAAAATAAGAAAAAGTCGTTGGTTTTTTTTTTATTTTTCCCAGAAGGCTTGAATGTTCATTGGTAGTCCTTTACAGTAAGTAGGATATTATTACATAATTTCTGTGTCTGCATTGCAAAGCTTTAATAAAAGTGTGTGTGTGTTTCTTTTATATTTGCAACATACTGTATTGAAGTATATGCTGATTAACATGTTATGCCATATATTAGTAGTTTAGCTTTAAAAAATGCCATGTGATCAACCAATATGAACACAACTACCTTGGAGGTTCTCAGGTTAATTACCCACCTGCCTTAAAGAATATGTGGTAGTTTTCATTTAAAAGAGGGGAAATCCCAGTAGTTCAGTTCCGGGTAGTATTTGGGTTTGTCCCTCCTGTGCTGAGAACTCGCTGTAGATACTCAGCTCCAGGAGAAGGCCAGGACGGGAGCCTCTCTCTGTTAAGACAAAGACAGGGTGAGCAGAGGAAGACTTTCCCTTTTCAGCTTCTGGCAGATGGAGGCTTCCCAGGCTCTTACCTATTAAACAGCACGGCACATTCCCAGGCACTGAGACAAGCTTGCCTGTACTTCTAATCCCAGCGGCAGGGTACAGCCTGGCATTATTGCCTGGCTCCCTGCTGACCTGTATGCTCCTAGACAATTTTGGAGGCAAAAAGGAATTTACTAGCTTAAAGGCAAGCTGTTTTGTCCCAGTGGGTTTCAGAGTCTTGACGGTGTAACCAGGCACATTTTCTCTATTGTTCCAGAAGTATTCATAATTTTAAAAAGACTTTGTTGAATTTTTCTTTATGGGGTGACTGAAAGAATTCCTGAATCTATAAACTGATAGAAGTTGTTACCTAAAACATGCTCTAGCAAGGAGTCCTATGGTTGTGCTGAAATATTCCTGTTTTGTTTCTTCTAAAAGTTCTGCCAGATATTTTAGTTGGGCATAATTATTTCTTATATTTGGGGGGGTAGGGGGATGGTAAAGAGGGGAAGCGAATAATGGTCATTTAGTATGACATTTTAGCAAGATGATATCAATAGGACTATTCAGTAAAGAATAATCCTGATTATTTTTCTTCTCTTCTTCATACCAGTCATGCTTTTACAGATTTTATTGTATAACTACTCAGTTTTTTATTTCCTGGCATGCTAATTGGTATTTTGAACATTCTTGAGCATGCATGTTTTAAAGGGATTACCCACAATGACTCTTAAGATCTTTTGCCTGATCAATAACATCTCATTTATTACCCATGTGGTACATATGTGGTTGGGATTTTTTTTCTCCACAGGCACACATTTTTTTGTATATGTATCAACTTGGAATGCCATCTGTCACTTGATTGACCAGTCACTTAGGAGTTCTTTGTGATATATGGCCTAGCTTTTACTATATTAAATAACTATGTGTTTTTACAAGCATTGTTATTTCACTGCATGCCCCTCTTAACATGGGACAGCAACTTTCTGGAAAATCACTGGAAACTTCCCTTCCACTTATTATTTATTCCTACTGTTCATTTCTGACCTTTCATTCAGTTATTAATTAATGAAGGATTTGTTTTCTTTAATGTCATTATAGATTAGTTTCTTTAAAAGGCTTTGGTGAGGTACAGCGTCCAGCAGATTTTTCACAACTGGTGCACACCGTGTCTCAGCTGGTTCACTTTTTTCCACATTCTCACCTGCTCCTCCAATGACCTCTGAAATTCTTAGTCAGTTCTTCATTCTGTCATACTTGCCACCTGTCTATCCAGTCTGCTCTTCCACCTACCTGGCTTACTGAAAAATCAGTCTCTTCTTTTTTTAGAAAGGCTGCCACTAATTTTGATTTGGGGTTGGGTGGCATTCTCAGATTAGGTGACAACTAACACTTGGACTAGAGTTAGGCCATGTGATGACCTTTGCTGTTTAGTCTCTGCCCACCCTAGATATTAGTGCCCTAATAGACACTTTTGTCCGTAATAGCCTTAATTTGGTGTTTCTTTCTAGATCCAGCACTACTGCAGGGTCATCAGCCCTTAGTTACATGAGTTAGTCCTAAGTAGACAGAGACTGAATGCTTCTTCAAAGACCATAAATATTCCTCTAAGCTTTTATTGCAGTTCCAGTGTTTTACCACCCTCATTGTAAAAAATTACTTCCATATATCCAGTCCAAACTAAAACCAATCTACCATCTCTTAGTTTAAAACCATTATCCCTTGTCTTATCACAGCAGGCCGTGCTAAAAAGATTGTCCTGTCTTTCTTATAGGCCTCCTTCAGGTACTGGATAGCTGCTATAATCCAGGCTAAACAGCTCCAGCTCTCTCAACCTGTCTTCATAGGAGTGGCGCTCGAGCCCTCTGATCATTGTCATGGCTTCCTCTGGACTCTCTCCAACAGGTCAATATCTTTTCTATTCTGATGATCCCAGATCTAGATGCAGTGCTCCAGGTGGGGTCTCACAAGAGCAGAGCAGAGGGGCAGAATCATCTCCCTCGACCTCTGGCCACACTGCTTTTGATGCAGCCTAGTTGGCTCATGTCCAGCTTTTCAGCCACCAGCACCTCAAGTCTTTTTCAGCAGGGCTGCTCTCAATCCATTCATCCCCCAGTCTGATGGGTTGCCCCAACACATGTGCAGGATGTTGCACTTGGCCTTGTTGAACTTCATGAAATTCCTAGGGTCCCACGTCCCACTTCAAACTTGTCCAGGTCTTTCTGGATGGCATCCCATCCTTCAGGTTGTCAATGTACCACTCAGCTCTGTGTCCTCCACAAGCTTGCTGCGGGTGCACTCAATCCCACTGTCCATGCGTGTGATGAAAACATTAAATAGCACAGATTCCAGTACGGACCGCTGAAGGACAC